AGCGTGCGTGGGCCGGGCATGGACATTTAACTTAAAACCACTTTAACGGTGCACTGAAAAGAACCAAATGTTTGGCAGCACATTCGGGTGTATGCGAGTAGTTAATGCGATGTCACTGGCCAGCACCGGAACGCGCATAGGCAACAGTAGTTTTACCTGGTATGTAAGCCCGGGGTCCCGATGGCGGAGATAGTCCGGAAGGCTGTTTGGTTGATGTGTGAACACCGGTGAACATTTCCGTCCCTGATCCCAGGCTCCCATGCAGCCGTCGTTGCCGAGTCCGTGTAGCCGGGGTTTGCACGCCGCCGGCGCCCTCTGCGCCCCGGCCTCCGGCTGGTGGGCGCCGGCGGTGGCGGTCCGGCCGGCGGTCCAGCGGCGTGTCAGCTGGACACCGCTCGGCGTGCGTACCCGCCCGGATGGCGCGTCCAGTTTGGAAACGGCGGGCCTCGTGTGATATCCACAGCCGTCTTTACGGAGCGGGGCGGACCGGGGGTGCCGCGCTGAAAGGAGCCGTCCCACCGCGCCGCCGCGCACAAAGGACGTCCGCCCGCCGGCAGAATGCGGCCGGCCGCGCCGTGTCTGCCGCCGCCTCGGGCGACGCCAGCGGCGGTCCTCGGTGGCGCTCGAGCACCGGACTGACAGGCGTTTCTTTCCGTTGGAGCTCTGTTGGAGGCAAACGCCGCCGGGCGGGCTGAGCCCTCGCCGAGCCGAGTGCCAGCCGCGCCACCGGGCGGCGCCCGACCATCTGTGGGGCGCAGGCTGGGGACATGGCGTGGCATGGCTGGAGTGTGAGGGGGCGCGAGTTTGCAGGTCGTGGCCAGACCCTGACGTTAACCGCTTTCTGGGTTAATCGAAGCATGAGATTGCAGCACTAGCCGCGATAAGAAACACATGCGTCGTTAACTCCTTTCATGGGCACGCTGCTGGAAAGGTGCCGGACGTGTCGTGGCGCCCGATCCGCGGCGGGAACGCCGGCTCCGGCCTGCTGTCGACGCCCTCCGCCACGTGGTCTTGCCGCCTCCCACGATCGGCCGTCGGGGACGTGACTGCTCAGCTCGCGACTGCGATTCTCGTCGAGCCGCGACGACAGCCGGCGGTGGGAACCCAGTGGCGCCTCTCCGGCCCGTCCCAAGTGGGCTGAGCAGGTTGGGGACCGCGTCCTGTTTCGCTGCTCCGATCGTGTTCGCCTGTCACAACGAGTCTTAAAAAAAGGTGGATGGGCGTAAGACGCTAAGCCTGCGAAGGCCGGCGAGTTTTTGTCTCCTTTTTCCGCCACATCAGATCCGTCGGCCGCGTCTTCGGCGGACGGTGCGCGAGCAAGGCCGGCACCGGCGCTGTTGTGCGCCCCCCTAGCTCGGGAGGCGCGCGCCCCCGGCGTCCGTCCGCCGGCGCGCGGCACGTCCGTCTCCAGCTCGACGCGTGAGAACTGGGGTGGCGTCGCGGCCGTGACCGATCGGCCTTTGTCGCCGGCTGACGAGCGTGTCCTCGCCGCCGAGAGCGCCCGCTGACGGCTCCGTCGCTCGCGCCGACCGCTGACGAGGTCCTGCTCCCACGGCGGCGCCGGCGCCGGCACCGGCCGGCGTCTCCCCTCCCGTCGCGACGGCGGGGAGGGCGATGTTTTACGTTGGCCACTTGGCACCGATTCGGAACGCTTTGAGCCTTACCTTGCGCCGCGTGCTGGGCACGAGCTCCACAGCGGATCGTAAGCAGAGTTGGTGGAGCTCCGGCTTCTGTTGTCGGTGAGTACCAACGTTCACGGGGGAACGCCGCTTGTCGACGGCTGGGGCTAAAGCCCGGTTTATGTTACAACTTACGGCGTCCTTGACAACCGATTTCAATTAGCTTTGCCGTGGATTAGCGCTGCGGCATCGACGCAGCGGACCGGATGTGCCGGCTAGCAGCCGACGCTGATGCGGACGCAGCCGGCTCTGGACGGCACTTACGCACCGCTCTGTCGGTGGCCTGGTGATCCTAACGCTCTGACCGCGGGGGTTCGCAGGTTCAGGTGTTCAGGGATCGCGCCCGTTCGTCCGGCTGTCATGACACACTCTCACAAAAGGAACGCAGCGGTGTCTCCCGTTCGCTTGATGCTTGACGTCTGCCGCCCTGGCGTTCCTCGTTCCCGTTCGTTCTTTCCTCGTTCCTCGTTCCCCGTTCCCGCCCGCTGCACTGAGCCCGCGGCGGCCGCCGGTGGGGACCCGTCCCCCGCGCCGGCTTCGGCGGCGCGGCGGCGCGGCCCGGCGCGACCTTCGGTGTTGGACCGTAGGCCGCGAAGGGCAGCGCGGCCGACTGAGGAGCCCGCCGGATCAGCCGGCGCCGCACCGCCGTTCGCCGCGCACAGTCTGCCCTCTGTCCTCCGCTGCCCAGGACACTAGTAGCGCCTCACTTGAATGACATACCTCATCCGTTTCCTTTTTTATTCAGGATAGAAGGAATAGTGGTCGCGTTTTTTTGTCACGATTTGTTTTGCCCTTGAATTGTACGCATCGGCTTCAAATTTTTGGTGCACGTGGGAACCGTAACGCGATACCGTTGGTTTTGTTGCGATCGGTTGATCGGATCGGTTAGATTGAGCGACGATCAGAGTCGTCCCACCACAGTGGAAGGTCTTCACTGACGTCACTGCATGCTGGCGACAGTGCACCTCTTCCAATGCCGCCGGCGTGCCTGGGCTGCCCGACCGACGCCGCTGTCCCGGACCTCGGACCACCAACATGTTCCGCAGTGACCGGGCTCGTGAAAGCGGCCGCCTGTTGTGTCTGGTGGCGCGTGCGTGTCAGGGGCCGGGCAGCGCGCCGTCCGCTGGCTGTGTTCATCGGGCCCGCAGTTCTGCCGGCGACAAGCTGATGCCGACGGTCGGCGAGCCGAACCGGCCGGCCGCCCGGCCGCCCGCCCTGCCGGCTGATGCAACCGGCGCTGCAAATCCGCGCGCGGCCCGAATTTTTCGGCGCGGTCGGCAGCCTTCTCGGTTTCTGGAGGCGGCCGTAGGGTCCGGCTCCACGGCCGTGTGCTGCGCCGAACTGTGCGCCGCTGCCGGACGATAGCATCGCGGCAGGGCTTAGTCGCCGGGGATGACACGCAGCGAGCGCCGATCTCGGCCGGTCCGGTCCTCTCCGGACGCTCTGACGGCTCGCCGCGATGGGCGGGACTGTCACCGGCGGCCGTGGCTGGTTTGGATCGCTGGCGGTGATTGCTGATGCAACTGCAGTGGGCGATCGGCGAATGTCATGACTGGTAATTGTCGAGTAAGACGGAGACGGCAGCTGTGGACCGGGTGGCGTTCCCAATCAGCCTCATCGCGGCCGGTTGGCGTCGGTGTCATTCTGTCTCGCTGACCGTGTCTTCCGCCCTTCACCCGCCCTACCGCCCCCTCTCCCCCTCTCTCTCGCCTCTCTCCCCTTCCTCTTTCTCTCTCCCCCCCTCCCATCCCCTCCATGGACTTCCTGTCGGCGGTCATCGGACACCACAGCCGACGCGCCCGACGTGCCTGTCCAAACAAAAGGGCAACGCCATCTGTTCCCGTCGTTTTTGCTCGTCGGTTGTAATCGATTTTTTTTGTTGGCGTCCCCCACCCTCGCTGCGTTCGTTAATCATGGACGGGCGAGGCCGGCGCGACGCTTTTTGCCCTAGTTTTTGTTCCGGTTTTTGCCCGGGTTTTTGTCGCGTCTGGCCGCCCCCGGCACTGCTGATTTTTTACCTGTGCGGTTTTTGTTTGAGTTTTTGCGGTGGACGTGCGTTTTTGCGTCGGTGTTTTTGTGGGGCTGTCGCCTCACGGCCACGCTGACCTGACCTTGGGCGCAGGTGGCGGGGCGGGCCGGGCGAAGGGAGGGCGGCTCCGAGGGGCGGCAGCCCTCCCCCTGCATCGGCGGACGCTCGCGGGCCGCTGAAAGCGACGCGTGTTCCGCATCCCGCCGGCTTTTTTGTCCCAGCTGAGCATGTCGGCCAGGGCTTTGCTCTCATGACGGTCGTTTTTGCTCCCTCTTCTGCTGTTTTTTCGTTGCTGGCCATTGGCGTTTTTGTTGGTCGGCGCCTGGTCGTGGCTTTTTTGCAGGACGGGTGCATGGCCGGTCATAGCCTTCCGTGTGCCTGTGTCAGCGACCTCCTCTGTTAATGTGCTCTTGTAGTCTGGCTGGGTCGTTGATCTGCGACGTATTCAGCATGACGGGCACGTCTGTTTTTATGCACTTCGTGAAAGTTGTGTTCTGTCGCGTGCCGGTTTTGGACCTCTCTTCTCCATTGATGTATGTTAATGCTACTGATGTCAAACAGCGATGTTTTGGTACATTGCTGTTTAGCACGTTATCGGTTTGTGGACAACCGCTATGATTTTATCTATTGAAAACCGGACTGGCCGTGTGCACTGACGATTGGAGTAGTACTGATCCCTGTATTGAAGGGAGCATTGTGCAGCCCCGTTTATTGCGACGGTGCAGAAGGATTGCAGATCAAAAAGTTTGGCAGGTTTGGTGTGGACGACTGTTGTTTTGTCATGGCACATGACACTGGACTAAAGACGTTTCCGACACCCCTCTTGCCACGTGGATTCTGCGGAAACTACCCAAACGCCATATCTTTCATTTCTCAGACAACGTGCATTCAACTGCCCACACCATCTGGCTTGCCAAACCAGGCGCTCTATGTCAAATCCGCAAAGAAAGACGTCTTCACCGCCCACGTTTACCAAAAACCCCCACATCATTCCAAACGCCAGCTGTAGCCTGACTCTCGGACCGCCGCGCCGCTGTCGCTGCTGTCCGGCTTCGCTGCCTGCGGATGACCGGCGTCTCGCGCGGCCCGCCAGCTCCTGCAGCCCGTGCCCATATAGGCCCGCCGGTGGCGGGAGGCACGGCGCGGCGCCGGTGCCGGCGTCTGGGCGGCCGGGGTCACGCCCGCGCTGTCAAGGCCGCCGCGGCGCCGGCTCAGCGGCGGCGCCGCCACCGGAGCCGCGCGCTGACCGCCGACCGCTGACTGCTGACCGGCGCGCGCCCTCCCGTCCGCAGGAAGGTGATAGAGAAGATCGACCAGAGCGAGTTCGAGGGCTTCGAGTACGTGAACCCACTGCTGATGTCGCTCGAGGACTGCGTCTAGCCGGCGCCGGCGCCGGCGGCGGCCAGCTCCGGTGCCGGTGCCGGCTCCGGTGTCGGCCCGGTCCGGCTCGGCCAAGGCTCGGTCGGCGGAGGTGGCGGCCGGCAGCAGCAGCTCCGAGCTCCGGCGGCGCCGCCTCTGGAGCGGCCAGACGCCGTCACATCCAGCCGGCTCCTCAGCGACTCGGAGCGTGGGGGTCGCCGGTGTTTACGTGGAGCGTCGCTGGACTTCAGCGACGCTCGTGATTTAGGGCCGATGCCTCGTTTTAGCTGGTCTGTGACCGACTGTCGTCGCCAACGGTGTCTGTCTCTGTTGTACACTGTTCCATATTGGATAGAGGCGGCTGCGGGGTGGATCAGTTCCTCGATGACGCGATCAAATGGCCGATCTATAAGGCAGCAGCTACCAGAAGTGCGACTTCGTACCATTCCATTATGTGGGCGTATTAGTTAAGTTCAGTTAAGTGATTCTTCTGAATAGTTGCATTCTCACTAACTATGCGTAAGTGCGAGCAATCGTCTCACCGAATCGATCCTCTATTTATCATAGCAGCTCTTAGACTAAAGCGTTTTTACCTGGGCTTGTGGCATCGCGCGCTGCGAACACGACAGCGGGGCACTTTTGTGCCGGGCTTTTTTGCCCGCAGATTTCTACTTAGTCCATACATCCCCGCAGTGCGGTGTCCGATCCCGGCGAGAGGGCACGCGTGCACGACTTGGGAGCGCGTCGTGTGCACGAGTGTCTCAAATTTCGGCTAGTGTGGCATCGCCGACGAACGTCACGCTGCCACCCCGGGGAAGGTTATCAATAAATCTTTTATGAACCTCCTTTGTTTTAGGGAAATACCGACGAGGCGTTTGGCAGCGGCGAAAGCCGTACTTTGCTCTGAATGCCTGGGTTAGGGTTGTCGCCGGGCCATCCCTTTTCCTTCGATGTTTGCGCCCTGCAGGAGACGCTGCTGGCTGTTGTACGAGACAGCCCGCGTCTTTGGATCAGGGGGGCTGCGGACGTAGGGAATATCGCGGAACATATGAGTCATCGAGGCGAGAACAATGAACGAGGGATGCCACATGACGTTCCCGCCGCATTCAGATGTTCGTCAGAATGGGGCCTCGAAAACAAAATGTCAACCGACTCTTTACGTCCGGTTCACAGCATGGCGTGGGCGATGTTCGAAAGCTTGCATCAGGTTTATGTGGCGGTCTGAACTAAAAATGAAAATAAAATAACCGGACAACAGCCGAATAAGTGGTCAAATAAAGCTGGTGATCGGTCGGACATGCTTGCGTCACGCCCCGTTGCTTCATTCCAGAGTTTTGTCTGACATCACGCCGGATGACCGGTTGACATGCATGCCGATGTCACGGACAGTGATGGCGGAGTGGCTTGACACAGTGCCGCGATGTCGGCTACCGGCGCCTAATCGGCCCAGAGCTGTTCTCGGAAGCGTTGGTAAACTCGCCAAATTTACGAGTATCGCAAAGTCATCAGAAAGTAGCACAGCTTTGTCTTTCATGGCTGTTTTGAAGTGATGCCTCTTCACTTTTGACTCCACGCTTGTCATTGGTATAACTGTTTTACAGCATTTTCGGCGGAAATTTGATGCCGTAACACACTTAATGGCCAGTTTATTTGTCAGTTTGTGTGCATGCGACTTTGTATGCACGTTTTTGTATGCGCGTTTGTATGCATTGATTTAAATTGATCCTACTCGTGTTGCGACGGCGAAGCAAACATCTCCGCACCCCTGCGGCGCACAGGCAAGCGTCACGACTGGACAGATTTACTGGAAACACTGATCACCACTCCCGGCGGACGACGCGCCGTCTCGTTTCGCGGGTCCGTTTCTCGTGAGGAGCTCTCTTCCTCTCCGCGTCTTCCCAGGTGACTAACTCTGTGCGGTCCAGCGTGCAGCTTCTCCAGAGCTAACGCTTGGGCTGGCTGGTTACCGCACTCGAAGATGCGGTGACTCCGCACGCAGGGGGGGGGGGGGGGGCTTCTAGACGTGTTCCGCCCATATCAGCATGTCCCGGGCGCCAAATGGTTGTCTGGGTTCATGAGAAGGGGTAATAAAGTCCCGCAAAGTTCACGTCGTCCCGAAAAATTGGGAATAATTGTGAAGGTCATGCTTAGCGTGACCCTCGACGTCAATGTGGAACGCGAGAGTAGACGCAAAAGCAGCTGCTGGCGCCGACACGACACGCTGGGATCGGGGCTATTTTTAATAATGTCATGCTGTTTTACATTGGCCTTGGACGTGAGTCGGACCTTTAATGCCGACTGACCGACGGGTGGGTTTAAGCATGAAGAAACGAATGTGGTGAGGATAAGCATACCAGTGAGAATGGACGGCGTAGTCTCTGGGTGGAAGTTGGTGTGGAGGGGGGCGGGGGGCGGGGGGAGGGGGCGGCTTCAGACTCTGACAAGGACGTCGGCGAAATGTGGGACGAACCATGTTGTAAAAATTCTGCACAGGGATGTTAGCAGGATTTTCGTAACACGAGCGTGATCAAAATTAATGCACCGAATAGCCTGATGTCTGCAAGACAAATTTAGTGACTTAAGCACATTGCACGTATGGGCATTGTTAATAGCAGAGCATTTGTTCCCTAGGCAGCCCCTCATTTACGTTGCTGGAATTAAAACTGGCATCCATGCATACAGTAATGATATCTGAACTCATCTACGCTTGAGGCACGGATGTTACTGGCTTAACCGTATCATTAACTCCTCGGAGTCAAAGTCCGTTGTCTTCATGCAAGTCTCCGCCTGTGTTACTGGTGTTATTGAAAGAACCAACGACGCAAACAACGTCGTTGCATCTTATAAGAGGTGAGCTTAATAATGACCCGTAAATAAACACATCGCTTCATTAGCTATGCTTTAATGGGCAATAGCGACAGGATTTTTTTCAAACAAATCTGAAGCAGATCAGTGTATGTATGACGTGACTTCCGAAAAGCAGCGAGAGCGGTTCTCACAGAATGCACTGAGCAACGCGACGTGCACGCCACTGGAGCTTCACGACGCACTCAGCTGCGGAGGCTAATATGGCGTCGCCTGCCTCTCAGCCGGGCAGGAAGGGCGGGCACCGCGGGAAATCGGACCGCTGGTTTCCCAGACGCGCAGCTTAACCAGCACACTGCCGATGCTCCCAAAGAGGTACCAGCGCGACAAAACACGGCATGATGTTGAGCCACAAAGTCTCCGAGGAACGGCATAAATCTATCCGACCAACGCATCGTAAGGGCTTGGCGGTCATGTTCCACTAAAGGATGCCCCCAAATCAGGCGAGCTCACAAGTTAACGCCGCATGATCGGTTTTCCGGTTTGGCCGCTGACGGCATCTCTTACTCACGAAGCGTTGCAGTGTTGCGGTCTATCAAACAGCAATCCATAGCTGCGGTCGATCAACCACCCTGGTGCAATCTGCCTCGGCCACGGGCATTCTGCACCAGTGCCCCACCCTTCACCTTGCGTGCCCGCGGGGCCGATGAGTGGCGTTCTCACCCGTCTGGCCACACCCAGCATCCTGCACACACGCCTTCACTGAGCTCGAAGATTTCCCTGATCGGTATGTCGTTTGCTCGAGCCACTGCACCGACCTTGCGGGAGTTCGCATGCGCCCGATCGAAGTCAATGGAGACAACGGCTTCAAAAAACTCACGGTGATCAATGCTACACGGCGTGTTACGTCACGTGCCGACGTGCCGTGACGCGCGGCGCGGGCACGAGCCCGCGCTACAGCACCTCTCATGCCGGAGACCCGTTCGGCACCGGCTTTGCAGTGTCGCAGACGGAATAGCCGGCTAAGCCGCCGTCGGCTGGAGATCGTATGGCTTTCCTGGAACGGGACCGGAGCTGGGGCGGCGGCGCAGCGCCGCGGAGGGGGCGCCTGGCGCGCGCCGCAAGGAGGGACCGACGCGGCGGTGCGCCGCCGGCGTGGAGAGCCGCCGTGCGCCCGTCTCGTCCGTCACGGAAGCGGCCAATCACGCCGATGGCGCGCTGGATCGGGTGGGGAGGGGGGGGGGGGGGGTCTTGGCAGGGCCACCGCAAGGTGAACTGCTGCAGAATGATCTTTCTCCACATGCTGGACGTTTTCGGTTCGTATCGAGTTGTCAACGGCGTTGTGCGTGAATGCTGAGACAGCGAGTGTGGCAAGGCGGCTGCACCCAGCAACCTTCAGCTATCAAATGTCAAAGCGTGCGCACATTCCCGCGTTTACCACATCCACCATACCTCATATTCCAACCGTGATAAAATCTATGCTTCATTGGCGATGCATCCAAAAGAGCACATCGCTTGAATTTTGTATCGTCCCGATGCAGTTCGTCGTTAAAGCCTGACACCAGACGTCCTGATTTACACAAACTCGAACACGGATCAGTGCCGCTACACGGGCCTGATACTAAATGCAGCATTTCAGTCACCCGGATGCAGAGTAGCTGCGTTCTCAGCTGCCAACATTCATAACAGAAATGGCCCCCAGGGCTGGGTGGGCAGACGTCACAAAGGCGAAGCACTTGAGCTACACCGCGCCCACACGGCTGAAGATCAAAAGGGATGCGCGCCGCTCTCCGCATCTGTGATATCAGAACTGCTTTCTTTGTAGCTTTGGGCTGTGCCGAACTGCAACGCTGCATGATCGGAACGACGATGGTCTTGAGTGGCAGCGCTGTCGTGTACCTTTCATATGTGTGTACCCAGGGATGCAGGCAAGGTCTTGGTAAGGGGGGGGGGGACACCGAGGTTGGCGAAAGAGTTCTTTGTTGTTAAAAAGGCCTCTCTCTCCCGAAAAAGCGACACTGAGCGGTTATGACACACTCAGTTATGAAAGCGCTCCATTATGTATTTGCTTGTTCGCTTGTTTTTCTTTTTTCAACGAAACAAACCAGAAATTACTAGAAAATTCAACTCTACCCGCAGGCTTTATTGATTTTTTTTGTAGATCATCAGCAGGCCTTGCATGCCTTATTTATGAGTCAAGGGAAGTGTTCCACATTTGTATGGGGTTTTGAACTAAAAAGCCATCTTGAAGATCATTCGGTGCAGTGCACATCCCTGCCCTTCTTAAGGCTTGAATCCCTTCAGTTTTGAGCTACGCACCCGCAAAGATGTGCAGCAGTTTCGTGTAGACTATTTCAAGGTCAGCTCAGCATCCGTGACGCAAGACATTAGTCAAATCCTGTCATTCCCTTGGCCATGGGCGATCCAGGCCATGACAAATGGGATTGTGAAGACGTTCATATCTGGCGTTCGTGAGCACGATTTCCAGATATAAAGGCCGCCAGTTATCTTTCAATCAATGCTGTGTAAGGTGCGATAACGCAATCAAACAATGGCGTTCGGAGGAGCATATTTACTAAGCAGAGAAATTGAGTTATTTGGAGCGGTCTTTTTCGCTCAAAAATGTACTACTAGTTATAAATGAGCTTATTTCATCATATCTACAGCCTGCTATAATGTTTTCAAATGTGGAACATTCCCTTCAAAGGGAATTATTCTCAGGGTGTGTTGAATGCTTGGATGCTCTGCTCATATTCGGTGGAAAAGACCGCTCTAGCAACACAGTTTCTCCGTTTAGTTCATATGATCCCCAATACGACATTGCTTGAGTACATCATCGTCCTTACACGACATTTGTTGAAAGTTAATTGACGGCCGTTATATCTTCGGATCTGGAAAGCGTACTCACGAACGCCAAACATGAGAGACTCGACAGTTACATTTTTCTTAGCCTTGATTGGCACATGACCAGTAAAATGGCAAGATTTGAGTGACATCATGGCGGCGTGGATGCCTAGGTAGCCTTGAAATA